CAGCAGGGAAATTTTTTTTTTTAAGCAAAAAGCTTACCTCAACACAACTAGTAGTCTATGGTCCAGCAGATACTGTGGCCCTCTTGTTAGTTTGAGATACTCTGTTTGCTCCGGCACATGCCATCCTTGTTATTAAGGTGATACATCATTTTAGCAGTTTATTAAACAGATAATCTGTTTCTGTTCTTTCTTAAGATTTTCAGGTTAGTGCTTAGAGCTGCATCCTCACTGGGCTGAATTTCTTAAGTTTTAAAATACATTTTGTTATGTTCACCATTTCTAAATTAAACATTAGAGAATATTCTTTCAGTTACAGGGATCTTTGGTTTAATTCCTGAAAAACTGCTGGAAGGATATTATTAGAATTTAGTTTGATAAGACTTCCGGTGTAATAACTCTCATTTCCTCCTATGTCACGAGTATGGTCTAACTATGTGCATGCTGGCTGTTTACTTGAAGTGCATTCCTTTGAAAGGACAGATGTAGCTATAGAAGAAATTCTGTGTCTTCAAGATTCGTTTGATCAGCAATAGTAGTTTGCTTGGGTTTTTTTTATAACACTGTCTTTAATACAGTAAGAGAGATTTTTTTTTAAAGAGACATCCCTGGAATATCTCTTTCTCTAGTTCTGTTAAGAGCTGAAATCCATTAAAATGCCTTTCCTTCTTTAAAGATATATCTGTTATCAACTTCTTACTGGTTTTCCTGAAGATGGTTTTCAGCAAATTGATTACCCCTCCACCATCATGGTTAAGTAAAAGTTCTGTAATTTTTTCCCTGTGGGGGAAAGTGGAAGGAGAGACAAGGAGAATTTGAGTAATTTGCCTTCTGCTTGGAACTAGCTGGAAGAATACACGGAGTGTAATGAGTGGCCAGGTAAACTGGCATAGCTTAATTATTTTCTGCCTATATGAACAGTAGTAATCCTCCACAATACATATTCTGGTTCACGTTTTTTCTTTCTGATGCTTTTCTCATTTGTTCATCATTCTATATCCTGTCTGCCTTAATGTTTTTTCACAAAGGTGTGATGATACTTTTCTTTCATCCCCTTTGTTGTATCAACTTTTTTTTTAAATGTGGATCCAGATTTTAAATTGATACAATGTTGTACTTGATCCGTGTTAAATAACATCAAGTTATGTAACAGAATGTAGTAATACTACCATTATGATGTCAGTTTTATGCCCAGAAATGTCTGTTTCCTATGGCACATGCATACGAGTTATATTTGTACAGCAGATAGCAGATCTCTCCTAGCAATTAGCCGTAGGCTTTTATTTTTTTTTCCTCCCATATTTGTCAGATGTATCACATATCAGACCAGTGCTTATTTTTGTAACAGTCTGCATGACTAAGTACTGCAGTTACACTTGGGAAGATCAAAGAGAAAAACATTTAAGAGGTGACCCTGAATATTTTTTTCTACATTTTACTTTTATTTTAAAAAAAAAAGCAACTGTATACTTAAGTATTTAGTAGTAAGTGTTACAAAAATGAACACATAATAAGTAACTGTAATGAGTAGGTGAATTTTCCGGTTAGTGTATTAATTGACAGACTAGAAGTGGAAGATTTGTAGGTCTCGTTTAAATACAAGATTTGTTTAAAAATGTTATATCCTGGTTTTAGTAGTGTGTATTCTGCTTCTGATAAGTATTCTTTAACTCTGAAAACTAGTTCTTCACATTTTGAGGAAGTAGCATACAACAAATGTGTTTTGAAATAAAAATAGTTTTTGATGTTTTTTATCTTGATCAAGTATCTTATATTTTGGTTAAATATCCATATTTCTGATTTCCACTGTACTGAATATTTTGAAAGTTATGGTGCTGTTGTTAAACACAGGTAAGACAACATTATCATGGGAATAAAATTACTTTTTCATTTGCTCTATTTCTAAGAAGTTATAGGGAAAATTTCAGCTCCGATTTTTGGCCTTTGTTAAGTGTCTTATATTCCCTGAATGTTAATTTCTTGAAGAGTTCTCAAAAATATTTTGAAGTGTGTGTATGAAAACATTAAGACTGACATCTGATCCCAATCTGTTTTTCAGGTCGTTGAACAGGGTATGTTTGTAAAGCACTGCAAAGTAGAAGTATATCTAACAGAATTAAAGCTTTGCGAAAATGGAAATATGAACAACGTAGTCACACGAAGATTTAGTAAAGCTGATACAATAGGTATGCACAACTATTTTTACCAATATATGGTTGTTTCTTGTGTTTAAATAGTACTTGGTTGGACGTTCTGAATAAATAAGTCTCTTAAGTAAAACAATAGATAGATATTGTAGCTCTTAAAAAGGATGGGAGTGGTCTTGTTTGGATCAAAATTAAAAGTAAACTATTTGGAATGTTTAGAATTTTTAATACAGTTTTTTAAGAAGTCATGTGTTTTATTATGTAGTCATCTGTGTTAGCTCTAGAGGTTTGTGCTTTTCAGGAAGAAAATGGTGTGATGTTTTTCATTAATAGATTGTATGATGCGTTTTCTTGTCTTTTGATCTGTAAGAAATGTTGGTTTTCATGTGTTTCCATTCATGTCCTTCATTAGTCAAAGCTTTATAGTCTATATATAATAAAGAGTATATTATAACACACAGGAATTAATAGAATGATTATATTAATGGCTAACATGACCTACAAAGGCGAAGTGTCTTTTACAGTAACTGAGTCCCTTGTTAAACCTTTACCTTAGCTTTATTTGTAATTATTTTGCCTGCTTTTTGAGCATTGTGTCATTGTTTGAAACCACACGTTGGTAACATTTGTCTCAGAAAATGACAGTCACAACATTTGTGAAGATACTGCTGATCATATAAGCTCAATTTTTGCTGTTTTTGCGCATCTGTATCTGAGATAGGAGTCTTTCAGTCATCTGTATTGTGCATTTAGAACTGTTCTTTATGCCCTTGTTGTAGTTTTTCTACCCACCATCAATCATCATATTATTTACTGCCCTCAAAAGGTCAAGAGAAGACCTTCCATAATTGACATAAACAGGGAAAGTTTTGGAGCACCTTAAATACTCTGAGCACAAGATAATATTCACCTACCAATTTTCAAATATGTGATATTCATTTCAAATAGAAAGTAAGCTAAGCTGTGTGTCAATAATTTCTTGCAAGGTAGGAAAAAAATAATTTTAAAATGTAGACCTAATAATGACAGTCATTTTCTTGGGGTAGTACTGGAACTTTTTGGGAATCTCCTACAATTGAGGACTCTTTCCTTGCAGGCAGTGCATATTAACGTTGATGCTGATTGATGACTTACTCTTTGAGAGGTGCTACCTCAAGTTGTGGCTGTACAGCTGGTGGAGTGAGAGGCATCTTTAAAAGGCAGTTCTTCCTGTCTCTTGTAGACATGATCCTTGTACTAACCATCTTATACATGGGAAGCATATCACACTACTAGAGGAGAACCCCATGCACAGTATGGCTCAGACCATACATACTTGAACATAATATTTTATTTATACTGCAACAGGCACTTTCACTTTAGATCATAAGCCAGCACTGCAATGATACTTGATGCAGGGTGGGGGGAAGAATTACAAATTGTGCATTGGTTACTTTCATGAAGTATGTAGATGAACCTTAGATTAACGTAATCAAAACTAGCATAATAATCAAATAGAACATGCTTTTCTCACAGTCTTGGACATAATGTGTAGTCATCTTAATAGGATTACTGCTTCCTGTCACATAGACATTCTGTTAGTGAAGCTGGAGTATGTTAAAAATTGACGTAATAAATGTTAATTTAGTACTTGTAAAGAATAGGAGTGGCAGTGCTCAAATAAAGTCAACAAATCAAGTAACAACCTGTTGTCTTGTTTATAGCATCTACTTTGCCTAAATACAATCTCTATTATACAAACAGATGATCCAGTCTAACACTTGCTTTCATACTAAAATGTGTGTTAACTAGTAAAAAAGGAAGCTTAAAGTCTCATTTTGAGTTTTCATATTTAAAATAGTGGTTGATATAATAATAATAAACCTTAATAATAAACATTATAATAAATAATATGCTTATGTAGAAGGTGACAAGGGCAATTGTAGTGGAGCTGCAACACTGGTGTTTTATCCTAGACTTCAGGGGAATGTCTTGAAGAGCTTACAGAGCTTGTGTTTTCAGTGATCATCAGGAATAAACTGTATATTTCTTTACTCCTGTTTTGTTTTCTGTGTTCGCTGTTATGAGACTCAGCTGCTGTGGGGCTTTATGAGTGTATCAATTAAAAAAAATAAAAAATATATGTGTGGTTGCTGTGATACAGCACTGCACATAATAGTTCAAATTAAAGAACTCTTTAATATAAACTACTTTTGTATAAGGAGAAGGGAGTTAATGATGAACTTCTTGAATTCCAGTTGTGGACAATAGTTACACTACTTTCGAGTTATGTAGCACTGATTATATTTCTGCCCAATAGACCTTTTCATGTTAAATCATTCAGGGGTGTAAAATCTTTCACTATCCTTTTAAAATGAATTTATGCACTTCAGCCTTGCAGAGTAGTCTTTTGTGTAAATTAAACGTGATGTATGTATATTGTGTTAAGTGCTAATTGCATTGGGATGCAGGTAGAAGAATGAAAACCAAAAACGATTTGGTTTAGGGAAAGGAACAGAATTACTTGCCTTTCCTGCACCTGGTTTTGCTGCCAGTGTTGCTTTTAATTGTTCCCTACCTACCCACATTCCTCTGTTACCACACTGAGAAGTTAGTAGATGAGTACCTAGATGCCTCCTGTCATCTGTTATTTATCAACTTGTCTGTATTTGATCTGCTTTGCTAAGAGATTCAGGAGTGAATAAAATAACCCTCTGACTGTTTCCATGTTAAAGGGAAGCAAACTAGGAACTTCCTGCTTATAATACAACACAGTGTGGTTGCATGGCTGTTCTACAGTTTCATTAATATTTTGAATATAAGAGTAGGTGATTCTGATGTTTTATTGACTTTTTATTGGCTGTGTAGTGAAATGCCAAACTTGTGTTCTCTCCCTTTCAAAACAGATACGATTGAAAAAGAGATAAGAAAAATCTTCAATATTCCAGGTGAAAAAGAGACCAGATTGTGGAACAAATACATGAGTAATACTTTTGAACCTTTGAATAAACCAGACAGTACAATACAGGATGCTGGTTTATACCAAGGACAGGTACAGTGTAATGTTATTTCTTTTTTTAAAAAATACTTTTATTTTTTTGCTCATGCAAATGTAGCTGTACCCAAAGCATTTTCTTTTTTTTTAAAAGAAAACTGCCTTCTAAGAGATTGTGTTAGGAACAGAGAATTTTATAAACAAATTCATCAAAATAAAAGTTTTTGAGTGTAATTTCATGATGAAAAATGATATTAACTCTACTGGTGAATGAAAAGTAAATTAACATAACAACCTTGACTTGAATTTGATAAAAGCTGAAATTAAAAAAACTATTTCTAGGCTCTGGGATAGGTTTGCATAATGAAATCTCAAATGTGAAGAAAGTTGTATGTTAAAAGAATAATGTCGTCTTCTCAAATTCTGCTGTCCAGATTTCAGAAAGGAATAAAGAAAAAAATGAATATATCTCTTACTAGATTGGTAGAGACAAAAGAGCTTGAGAACCTACTTTAGCATGACTTTGTATCATCACTTTAAAATCATTTTATGGGAGGATTTCTTACAAGATAAATTTTTTACCTTTTCAGATGAATATGAAGAAAAATATTGGATGTTAAAGCTACACAAGTGTGAACTGATAAAACAATTTTCTTTTATAATAACTTTTCAGATTATTACATTGATGCACTAGTCTTCAAATAGAGTTGTGTGTTTTTTCAGCAGCTATAGTTCACACTGTTATGAATATGAATGGATGAAATTTGATGGCAGGAATTGTAGGAGAGATTATAATAAAGTATTTCTTTTTGCCTTGAAATACTTGACTCTAACCTACTTACAAGAAATATTTATGCTGTGTATCAGTTTTATTTTATGGCATGGGAGGTAAGTGATCAATGCACCAAAATAACAGCTTGTACTATTGTGCCCTTTAGTTTCATGCTGCACACACTTAAACCCTCACATAAGGGTTTAAATAGGTAATTTTAACAACTGTTGGGAGAGCCCCCGTCTCCCATGAAAGACTTTTATTAAAGATGTAACTTGCAAATTGCCTCTATCCTAGTGAAACATTAACTGTGGAGCAAGCATGCTCTAATACAACCATAAAAAGATCTCTAGGTGACATCTGTACTTTCAGCAAAACAAATATTGTTAAAAACTGGGTTTAGCCATGGTTTTTGAAAATGCTAAATGTAGGGGTAGACCATGTGCGTTTGGCCAGTTGCACTTGCTGACACACGAGGTTATTATTTTTCTTGCAGAGCCTCCTAATCTAATAATAGTTATTCTAACTGTTACAGTCTATCTAAACTAACAGTAATTTTTTTACTGTGTAATTCTAAATTATGTGTGTTATATTATAAGGTATAAACATTATAAGGTATAAACATTATAAGGTAATGTTTTTAATTTATCTGTTGGATTCTGAAGTGCACCTCTAGGGGTTCCATTGAACTTTTTAAGTCTAAATCTTTCTTTTATTTAATTGCCTCTTTGAGCCAGTGGAAGGAAATATGGCAGAATCTGTCCTACAGCATTCATGATCAAAGACAGCAGACTACTCTTCTCCAGACAGAAAGCAGGTCATGATAGAAAGCTTGTTTTCAATGTCATGTTAAGAGTATACACATGGAAAATGTGATCACATCTTCAAGTGGCAGCATGACTTACACATAAGTTTTTGAGCATAAGTACGTATGTGAATGTATGTTGCTGTGTAGACACATCTAGGCATAGCATGGCAGTTAATTAGCATCCTGAAACATCAGTTTTCAATAAAGCAGAATTAGTTGCATTGGAAATTAAGAGTTAGATTAATTTTAAATATTGGAATCTGGTTGCCGTTTCAGATCATCTAGGCTATCCCAGCTGTCAGTTGAGAAAGGCATGAGCTTTTTGTAGGTCCTGTGTCATATCTGCCAGCATAGGGCAGATACCTCAAATACCCAAAGGCGTTTCAAATGGCAGTTGGTGCCTGTGTTTAGGACTGAGTGTTCTGCACTCCTTTTTGTACCTAAACCAACTTGAATAAAATTAATTTTATTAGTCAGTTGTCCCATTGAAAGATTAATATTTAGATTAATGCATTTGCAAAAAAACCACAGCAGTAATCTCATAAGTACGATTTTAAGGATATCAAGGCACAAAATGGTTTGGGTTTTTTTTGTTGTTTTGGTTTTTTTCCCCTACCAGCCTGTGTTTTGTGAGAGGCAAAATTCCTTCAGGAGTATCCCTTCTTTAACACGACTGTTAGTATAGACAGCCCTGATTTCTATAGACTCATATGTGTTGTTTAGACATTGCAGAACATTTACTGACCTCTTTGAGAGTTAAAGTCTTGCTGTTTTATCCATGGATTGTTGAGACACAGAAATATTAAGTGGCTTGCCAAAAGCTGCACAAATTCAATTGTGGGGAGAAAAAAAGTTAATAGAGCAAGTGGAAGGTGCAGTGTAATTGACTGGAATATTCTTGAACCTCAGGGAACAGGAGCTTAAACAGAAGTCTTTTCTGTCTCACATGTCAGCAACTCCGTTGAAAATTTTGGAACAGAAAGCAATCTACTGAAATTTTTATTCCTGTTCTCTTATTACATTTTTTGTGGTAGGTACTGGTGATAGAACAGAAGAATGAGGATGGAACATGGCCAAGAGGTCCTTCAGCTCCTAAGTAAGTCGTGAAATAAGTCATGTTATTCACTATAGCTTAACTGTTTTCACATTGTTTTGCTTTTTAAAAACCCTGGGTTTAGAAGTGGCTTTTTATTTTGAAAATTAATCTTAAGATTTTGTAACTGAAAGTATACCAAATAGTGTCAAACTGTGACAGTTACAAGTGTTGCACATTGTAATAATAGTGCCTACATAATGGTGAATTTCTGCACATACGTTGCTTAATTTTGTTGATTTCAGCCTGTGACATATGGTTATCCTGCTTTAAAATAAGAAAAATATCTATAGCAGAAAACAGTAAAACTTATTTACATTTCTATTTCAAAGCATAGAGTATCTGTTAGGTGAACATCTTTTTAACAGTATATTTCTTATATGTAAATGTGTTCATGGATACCTTGTCCTTTTATTTCCAGTGTACAGTATTTATGCATAAGCATTATTTAAATGGCATTCTACATTGCCAGCGTGTTGCTTTATTTCTTTGTTGAGCTGTCAGTTAACAGAATACAGTGTTCCTTTTCTTTTCTGTTCTTCCTGCTGCCATTATGAACAGCACCTTGATAATGGCAAGTGAGCAGAAAGATTTGAGTGTGCTTTTTCTCGTTTAGATGGATAATTTTTTTAAAATATTGTTTCCAGAGTGTAAACTATGTTCTGTTCATTTTGTAGAAGAGTTGGCAGTTGTTACTAGTAAACTAACATGATCTCAGCCTTACAAAAGGTCAACTGTTTTTTCCCTTTGTTGGCTGCTTCTGGAACATAGCTTTCATAAAAAATTCTTCAAAATTACTTTTAGTGTTCTGCATTCATGTAATTGATGTTCACTGATGTTTTAAAATATTTTGATAGTATCACTGCTTATCATTTGAACGACAGAGATTCTTTAGTGTTTTATCTCAAGCGCTTTTAGGAGGAGCCCTCAGCTTCTGTGAAGTTGCTTAGTGAAGTCTGAGTTCAGTTTAATCTTAGTATGAACAATATAATCTTACTTAGCAAAATTTTACTCTCAAAGAATTGAGAATATGGAGCAGCAGAAAGAATGGGACGCAAAATACTCAGAGTTTAATCTCTGACCTCAAAAAGCATCTAGTAGAAATGTAAATTTGGAGTCAAATTTTAAATGTAGATTTTGAAGATTAAAAGAATGTAGATAACTTAATGTCACAGATTCTTTTAGAAGTTTTGGTAGAAAGATATTTTTAGTGATGGTATCTGCTTTTATTATGCCAAATCTCCATTTTGCTTTATAGAAATCATTCAGGAACTCCTGGAAAATTGTTTGATCTGGGGATAAGTAAAATGATAATTGAGAATACTGGTGTCAGAGGAGGGTATAAGTAAACTAGGAAATGAGGATGAATAGTTTTACTGTGAAGCTGGTGTATGTTTTTAAGTGTTGGCAGATATCACAAAGATTGAAATTTGGTATTCAAATGCATTGTAATACTGTAAAGTTTGCAAAATTTAGTCGATATCAAATAGAAACTTTCAACAAACAGTACTGGGGACAGGTTTTTACATCTGTTTAAAACTTTATGCAAAATTAAGCTAATGTATAAAGGAGTAGAAATATTAAGCACTTGAAGGACCTCTTGAGTCTTCTTTGTGAGAAGCATTAAGAGTGGTAGTTTGTCATCACAAGTAGTATATATCCAGATACCTTCCTAAAGTCCTGGCATCTCTTCATAGTGCTTGTTGTAGAATACAAATTGTGAACATAGATTCTGAGACCAGGTTACAAAACGCCATTTTTAGAAAGGTCAAAATAGAGAATATTAGAAAGTGTTAAAGGTTTGTAACAATTGTAAAGGGCAGGACCATTTCATAAAATCAGCTAAACTTTTCACAGAATCACAGGATACTTGAAGTTGGAAGGTGTCCCTGGAGAATATCTGATCCAGCCCATCTGCTCAACTAGAGCAGTTTGCTTGGGACTGTGTCCAGTTAGGTTTTGAGCTTCTCCAAAGATGAAGGCTCCACAGCCTCCCTGGAAAACCTATTCCAGTGTTTGATAACACCCACTGTAAACTAGAATTTCTTTTACTTAAATGGAATTGTCTGTGTTGTAGTTTGTTAGTGTTGCATCTTCTTTCAGTGAGCACCACTGAGAATGGTCTTGCTCCACCTTACTGATTTCCTCCCATTAGATATTTATACACATTAATGACTGTATCTGTAGCCTTCTCTTCTGCAGGCTGAAAAGTCTCAGCTGCAATCCCTTGATCACCTTTGTGGCCTCTCACTAGACTTGCTCCAGTGTGTCCTTGCTTCTCTTGTACTGGGCAGCCTAGAAGTGAACCCAGCACTCCAGGGGCATTCCACCAGTGCAGAGTGGAGGGGAAGGATCACCTTTCTTGACCTGCTGGCAGTGCTTTTACCAGTGGAGCTCAGGAGGTTATTGGCCCAAGGTCACATTGCTGGTTTGTGTTCAGCTTTTTGCCCACCAGGACCCCAGGTGCTTCTCTGCCAAGCTCCTTTCCAGTGTGTCCTCCTGCCTGGGGTTATGCTTCCACAGGTGCAGGCCTTTGCATTTCCTTTGATTGAATTTCGTGAGGCTCCTGTCTGCCCATTTCTGCAGCCTGTCAAGGTCCATCTGAATGGCAGCATGATGTATATTGTGACAGTTGAGAGTTAGTAAGATGTTTTAAAGAATTTCCCTGCCTCTTTCTAATTAGCAGAAGCATAGCAGTGATGTGTCTATTGATTGCTTCTTTTCACAGAATTGTCAAGAGTTGGAAGGGACCTCTAGACATCATCTAGTCCGACTCCCTCGCCAAAGCAGGATCTCCTAGAACACATTACTTTTGGCAGTTTCTTTCTTCCTACTGTAGGTGATGAGCTTTGGCAGTTTTTGTTATAAGAAACATGTTTATGGTAAAGGTGCGACCATTTTTTTCTCCTGCAAGAAAAGAAAAAAAACTACTTTGAAAGTGGCCAAATTGGGACCTCAGCTCAAGATAGGAAGGAACACTTTCAGAAGTGATAGTTCTGTTTCTCTTAAAAGTCTAATGAATCTTTACAAGTGAAAAGATCAGTTATCAAAATAAGTCTCTCTTGAAGAAATTAGAAAGGAATTATTTCAAGTTTGAGATCTTCTTTTTTACAGGGCTATAGACCCTGCTCTGTGACTTAGAATTTCAGTGCAAATTTCTCAGTTTTTTCATATAATTTGAGTGTACTGTTCTTTTAACTTCTGAATTTAATTAATTTTGGAAGTAATTGCAATATCTGATGCAAAATCCCCTCTAAATGTTAAGAATACCTGCTCTTGTTTCATATTTTAATTCTGCTTTAAAAGTTTTGAGTTCTTTTTTTGTCTGAAAGTATTGAAATGTGGGGTACATTCTGAAAATGTGCACAGTGAGGCAGTGAGGCTTAAGAATAACTGGACTTTTGGCTCTGTGAGAGCCAAAACTGTTTATATTGGCTACTGGGATGTTTGTTGCTCAGGAAGCTTGGCTTGTGTGAAACTTTTTCTAGGGAGCTCAGAGTAACTTCTCCTGGAATTACCTTACTGCCATGGGTTCCCAAAATAGATATTATTCAGAATTAATGTGCAATTCTGCAGAAAATTTTGTCATACTAGCTTTTCTGTGAATAACTGTCTCTTTAATGTCATACATGTGACACACTCGTCCAAGCATGGAGATCCCAGTTGCTTTGCTAGTTTAGTTGCTGCTGATCCCAGTCATTGAATGGAAATTTGTGATCTGCGTGCAGACAGTTTTTTTTTTCCATATGTGTATCCTTCTTGAGAGACTAATCCACACGCAGAAGGACAACCAGCCAACCCTATTTCAGTGGTTTATTATCAAGAGGATGTTTTGAACTAAGGTACCAAAACATCAAGTAGCTTAAGCCACTGTACTGCAAAATCAAATTGCTTATGTTCAGGAAAACCGTTCAATTTAAATGTTTCATCCAATTTGTGATTATAAAACTTGAGTCAAGGAGAAGGAAGCCTAAGTTTTCAAGTTCCATGAATTACCAAATCAACAGCCAGCACAAGTTCTCTATTAATTATCTCTTTAAAAGTTGTTACCTGTTTGTGTGCAAATATGAAAGCAAGTTAGAGAGACATACGAAGAAGCTGTTAACTAGAAACTTATTTCCTTTTCATTTTAGAAAGGTATTATTCACCATTTTCTTAGAAAATAAACAAGTATTAAATCTGTCCATTGATATGTATTCTTCAAAAATATTTCTTATATGGTAAAAATAAGAATTTTCAATTTATCAGTATATATTGGTATATATATGTCTGATCATATCAATATATGTATGCTATATCAATATATGTGTATAATAAAAAGTAGCAGACTTAATTCTGATCTGTTTTTTTTAGACTTCAACATGGAATAAATCACCCAATCAAATATTCTACTACTTTGCATAATTTACAGATACTCTTCAATTAACTTTAACATTTTTTCCATGTAAAAGAGAGCACTTTTTTTTTTTTTTACCATACAAAAATTTAAGACTATAAACATTAATAGTTATGGGGTTTTTTTCTCCTTGTAATAATGAATGTTTTCTTACAATATTTTCATATGGTAAGTTTTTTCTTTATTTTTTTGCTGGTTCAAAACAATATGCCTTTTTATCTTGGAAAACACTAAAGGCTCTTACTTGATTCTTTTTGGGTTTTGAGACAGATCCCATATTGTTTTTAAGAGAAAAAAAAATGTAATAAAAGATGCTTAGCTATACTTTTTGAAATAATCCAGTATTTGTATATCCAAGTTGTGTTAGGAAAAAATGTCCATGAGTCTTCAAAAGACAAAATGTATTTGTCTGCTGAAATGAAAAGTATGATCTTTAATCAAGAGATTTAAAATCTGATGTTTTTCCTGAAGCAGTTGATGCACAGAGAGGTGTTCCTTTCTACTGACTTTTCTGTAAGAAGGGTAATTGTGGAGAATAGAGCTGACTAGAGACATACTATGATGTCTTAAATTGTAAAAACAAGAGCTGTCAGAGCTTGTCTACCAG